TAAAATAATTTCATAAATCATATAAAAACATAAATTTTCATAAAACATAAATTTTCACTTGTAAGGTTTTAAATAAGAAACCAAGTTTATAGAAAATTCATAAAAGATTTTTTGTAACACAACACAAGGTTATTTGGAACAACAGTTTATTCAAACCGGTATGGACCAGTGTCCATAACGGACGGTCTCCAAAGGACGGTCTCCTCTAACAGTACAAGCAATAGTTTATATACAATTTCATTTGAATATAATAGTTTATCAAAATTTCTATTACTTTGACAATAATAGTTTTTATTCTAAAGATACACGGATGAATATCTATCAAGCTGACTTTAATTGACATGTTTTTTACCACTCTGGACAATTTATAGTTGTGAATCTTGCATATGTCCAGTTCATTAATTAATTGTTATTATAACATGTCAGTATATGGCCTACATGTGTACATGTACTTAATTTTAACCTTGAATTAAAACAATCAGTCTAAAACTTATTTGTATAATTTTCTTGATAGATATTTCCCTGTGTTATTTTATTCAATTTTATTAAACATTTTAAGAATATATAAATATATAAATATATATATATTTTGAAGCCCATCATATTGTCACATTCCTCCCTTTCTTAAGAAATATAATCTTATATTTTAGTTTAAATCCGTGACAATATGAATGCTTGCAAAAGAAAACAACATTCATAAACAAAATCATTTCAACAGTTCAACAACCTCCAGCAATGCATAGTGCATACAATTCTTGTGTGAATAACTAAGTTGTAAAAGTTCTATCATTACACTCTTCGTAACATCAAAAATCGGAACTTCATAATACCAGAAAAAGGCGCAACCATCAACTGCGGACTGTCTTCTTAACCCCGACTCCGGTGAAATGCTCCTCCGATCGTCGTTGTCAACTCCAACAATCCGTTTGTTTATCTGCAACGCCAAATCCCTGTCATTCAGGAGTACTGCAACTACTCCGACTGTCGTTGATAACTCCGACCTCCACGTGATCCACCATCAGTCATTGATAACTCCGACCTCCATATGATCCACCATCAGTCGTTGATATACTCCGACCTCCATGTGATCCACCATCAGTCGTTGATAACGACCTCCATGTGATCCACCATCAGTCGTTGATAACGACCTCCATGTGATCCACCATTAGTCGTTGATATTACTCAAAACTGACCTAGCTTACCTACCCTGTTGATTCAGGGTCCCTGACTAGGTTGCTCAGTTATCACTGGCTGTAACAAATCAGGCAATTCTACCTGTGAAGTTGTAGAACGATTCCCTCTACCAATATAAAGTTATGTGATCGTATAGTTTTATTTACATCTGCGTTGTGTCCAATAATCAAAATCAATATCCAGTGTTCTTGTCCAATCGTCATTCTTGTGGTTAGTTTACTCGATTGTTACTTCTCATTGTTTGACAAGTTGAGAACTGGATAATGGTTCTTAGTGACTGTTTCTAGTAGTGGTGCCGAAGCTAGTTTAACATCTCTGGAGGCAGTACCATCGCCCTCAACATTAGTTGACACCACTGGATCGCCACCAAGGTATTTAGTGACTATTTGAACCTCTCTATTACTCAATTCTCAATTGGCTAAGCACCTACACTTAAACTTTTGAATATATTTGCAAAATAAATATAACAAAATACCTATAAATATAGCAACAAAATAAGTTAATGCATTTACTAAATTTGATAGTTCAAAGTCGTCCTCAATATGTTCTTATTGCTTTAATTTGGTAAATGGACTTATCAATATGTTATTTACTTAACTAGAATATAAAAACTGGAAAAAATACAAAATGGTTTCTATATTAAATTTAAGTTTTTTTTTTTACTAAGTTATATAATTATTTGTTTTTACTGTGTAGCAATTAACCCCCAAAAACAACCTTTTAATATATTCTTCGCTCTCGCAGACACTGAAAAGGTTTTAAATAAGGTTTGACAACACTGAAAAGGTTTTAAATAAGTTTTGACATTCAACCAACACTTTCCTTCCTTTTTCATAAACAAAGCTGTGATTAAGAGATTACTGATATTAATACGAATTCTAAACAATCAATAATTTTTAAGCGGTCTATCTGAAGCGACAATTAAAATCTCATTGAATATGATTAATTCTAATAAAAGTATATTATTTACACAAAACTAATATTCCATATACACATATTTCATAAATAACCAAGCTAATTATTATGCGAAGCCTACTACTACGTCTTGTTAGTCGCGCATTTTATTAAAATAACAAGAAATGTTTGAGAGAAAGTTTAACATTAATTGGTCTTTCTTTCAAACTTAACATTTTTTCGTTTATTTTTCTTTGGTATTCTAATTTCATCAACACCCATATTCTGGCTACTTTCTTAACTATATCTATCAGAACTGTTATCATTTGTCATCTCACTTAAACCGGAAGTTATTATAGATGACCTTATGACCCTCTGTTCTCGTTTTTTTTTAATCAGCAATAAAAGTTATACTATATTCGTTAGAAGATGTATCGCGTTATTGTTTATAACGATTAATCATATGATACTTATTTCCATATATTTAAGTCCTAAATTATTTGTCTTATTAAGATTGTAATCCGTGTTTACAAACCTTACCAATGCTTTATTATAAAAACATTTTCATTAGAAAAACCCTTATATTTTTTTATCTATTTTTTATACTAGTCATGCATTTCATTTACGCATTATTGATTATACATGATTTTCAAATCTTCCTTCAAAAAATTTATTATCCTATATTTCATTTACCGTGAAATACTTTAAAACTTAAAACCCTAAGTGTAATAAAGAGTGAACAATATAATTGTATCAATTTTTATCATTTATGCGCTATTTTCTGAAGATAGGTCCGCCATTCTTGAAAAATACCACAATAAGGGTTGGTTTTCTCTTTCATAGAAAATTTGTTACTATAGCAACCGTGATTACTCTACCTAACCACATGCACCATTTTCATGGCTTAGCAACGTATGCCTTATTAATTGTGCGAAAAAAAGGTTTGGATTCTAAATAACATAGAATGTTTTGTTTCTCTAAACAAATGTGCTTACGCACTTACCCAACTGCGTCAACCATATTTAAACAACCATATGGTTATAACATCGCAGAAATACCCTTTACTTCGTCGCCAAAAGGTTCTTAAATGAAACTTTCTTATATTAGTGTATAAGGGCGCGTATATTCTATAATTTCGGATTGTATCTTCAGAAAACAACTCATATATATTCCAAATCGACATATCTTATCATTATTCACGCAGTTAAATACTCTAAATATAACAAGCATCTTAAGATTTTTTTTTACTTATTGTGAATTAATTCTAAAATAATAATATTCAAGTGTTTTAAATAATATCTTTTCTGTCTTTTAATAGACAGCATATAAAAACGTTTTGTCATTATAATTAAAATGTGTCTTTTATATTGACTTATAAAATCAAATACCTGTTAAAGTCCTTCACCCTTATAAATGATTACATAAAAAATATCAATAAAGAAAACCCTTCACCATTGAATCATAAAAAAATAAATATCTACATTTTCGCTTCTAAAATCAACATTATTTCAACAAAACTTTGCTCTTTTGATGAGTTAATCCAAGTTAACTTTTTGAGCACGAAAAAGTGTGCTTACATCTTGTAAACTTTTATTCCTATTTTTTTCCGATTTTGAACCATCAAAGATTTCAATCGAATTAATGCCCTTTTTAAATACCCTTTGAGTAAGACTTTGAACTTTTGTTACTAAATTTTGAAAAAGTAACCCTACATTAAATTCTTGTCCCGCCATTTCGAGAAGAAATTAAAAATAAAGAGTATCAAAAATAGCCACTTTACCTTAGCATCCTTTGGTCACGGTTAACCAAAAATAACCACTGTGTAACACAACACAAGGTTATTTGGAACAACAGTTTATTCAAACCGGTATGGACCAGTGTCCATAACGGACGGTCTCCAAAGGACGGTCTCCTCTAACAGTACAAGCAATAGTTTATATACAATTTCATTTGAATATAATAGTTTATCAAAATTTCTATTACTTTGACAATAATAGTTTTTATTCTAAAGATACACGGATGAATATCTATCAAGCTGACTTTAATTGACATGTTTTTTACCACTCTGGACAATTTATAGTTGTGAATCTTGCATATGTCCAGTTCATTAATTAATTGTTATTATAACATGTCAGTATATGGCCTACATGTGTACATGTACTTAATTTTAACCTTGAATTAAAACAATCAGTCTAAAACTTATTTGTATAATTTTCTTGATAGATATTTCCCTGTGTTATTTTATTCAATTTTATTAAACATTTTAAGAATATATAAATATATAAATATATATATATTTTGAAGCCCATCATATTGTCACATTTTTTTTAAATGTGAATTTAAATTGATCAGATCAATAATTATTGCTGCACTTTCATGTCATTTTATGAATTTTTCATTTTTCAACATTTAGGTGCAAAATTTTTATCATAAAATGAAAATATCACTTTATAAAGCAGTATGTTCATGAAGGGTCTACATTGGCCCTTAAATTTCTTGAAATTTAACTTCAATAATACATGTCAATATTTGATGATAACATGTTTAAGAAATATCTGACCAATACAAAATTAACAAGCTCTGATTCACAAGAACACTTATGATGTCATTGTGATGTCAGAATAAGGCACTCTCTTGAAGAAAATCGTACTTTTTTACAAATTTTCTTCCTAAATATTGCTTCAAATGACATTGGCCACATGCATGGACCATCATGATATTTTGTAAGAATGTGTATCCGTATACATCTTTTTAATACGATTTTATTTGGTCAAACAGTGTGGACAAAGTGTACAAAAAGGGCAATCTGGCTAATAACTTGTAAAACATTGTACTTTTGAAGCTGTCAGCATTGTTATAGATTGTGTAGTTAATCTAGATTTATTTGCATATTTAAGATCATAAATATTGGTTTTTATACGACCGCAAAAAAAATTTTGTGGTCGTATATTGGTATGACGTTGGCGTCGTCTTCGTCGTCGTCGTCTGGCGTCGTCCGGCGTCGTCCGAAGACACATTGGTTTTCGCACTCTAACTTTAGTTAAAGTGAATGGATCTCTATGAAATTTTACCACAAGGTTCAATACCACAAAAGGAAGGTTGGGATTGATTTTGGGGGTTATGGTACCAACAGTAAAGGAATTAGGGGCCAAAAAGGGGCCAAAAATAAGCATTTTTGTAACTCCCAGACATAACTTGTGTGTTAGTGTATGGATATCTCTGACATTGTACCACAAGGTTCCATATTACAAAAGGAATGCTGGGATTGATTTTGGGGGTAATTGCCTCAAAATTTTAGGAATTAGGGGCCAAAAAAGGGGCAAAAAACAAGCATTTTTCTAGTTTCATGACAATAACTTGTGTGTAAGTGTATGGATCTTTCTGAAATTGTACTACAAGGTTCCATATCACAAAGGGAAAGCTGGAATTGAGTTTGGGGGTAATTGCCGAAACGTTTAGGAATTGGGGGCCAAAAAAGGGGCCAAAAATAAGCATTTTTCTAGTTTCCAGACAATAACTTGTGTTCAAGTGTATGGATCTCTCTGAAATTGTACTGCAAGGTACTATACCACAAAGGGAAGGCTGGGATTGATGATGGGGGTAATTGCCTCAATATTTTAGGAATTAGGGGCCAAAAAGGGGCAAAAAACAAGCATTTTTTCAAGTTTCAGGACAATAACTTGTGTGTAAGTGTATGGATCATTCTGAAATTGTACTACAAGGTTCCATATCTCAAAGGGAAAGCTGGGTTTGAGATTGGGGGTAATTGCCCTAAACGTTTAGGAATTAGGGGCCAAAAAGGGGCCAAAAAACACATTTTTCTAGTTTCCAGACAATAACTTGTGTTCAAGTGTATGGATCTCTCTGAAATTGTACTGCAAGGTACCATACCACAAAGGGAAGGCTGGGATTGAGTTTGGGGGTGATAAATCATAAGGGGGTTCAAAAAATTTGGGGGGGGGGGGGGGGGGGGGTTTTTTCCTTTTTTTTTTCTTTCAAAATTTTCCACTTTAAGTTGGTTATTTCTGATTTATATTTAAAAGCAAATAATAATGATATGGTAGGAGATACACACCAAACAGGATGTGTAAATTATTATATAAGTATTGTGCAATAGCAAGAAATTTTCAATTGCACAGTATTGCACAATAGCAAGAAATCTTCAATTGCACAGTATTGCACAATAGCAAGAAATCTTCAATTGCACAGTATTGCACAATAGCAAGAAAAATCCAATAGCACAATATTGCGCAATAGCAAGAAATTGTCAATTGTACAGTATTGCGCAATAGCAAGAAATATTTAATTGCACAGTATTGTGCAAAAGAAGATACTACGTATAAATTGCTTATTTCTTGACCAATTTCAATGGGGTTTTATTCTTGAATTCTTGGGGTTCTTTAATATGCTGAATCTCACCGTGTATTTAGTTTTTGGATTTTGGGCCCCGTTTTTAAATTGGTCCACATTGAGGTCCAAAGGGTCCAAATTTAAACTTTGTTTGATTTCATCAAAAATTGAATTATTGGGGTTCTTTGATAATGCCGAATCTAACTGTGTATTTAGATTCTTAATTTTTGGTTCCGTTTTCAAATTGGTCTACATTAAGGTCCAAAGGGTCCAAAATTAAACTGAGTTTGATTTTAACAAAAATTGAATTCTTAGGGTTCTTTGATATGCTGAATCTAAACATGTATTTAGATTTTTGATTATGGGCCCAGTTTTCAAGTTGGTCCAAATCGGGGTCCAAAATTAAACTTTGTTTGATTTCAACAAAAATTGAATATATAGGGGTTCTTTGATATGCTGAATCTAACTATGTATTTAGATTTTTGATTTTTGGGCCCCGTTATCAATTTTGTCCACATTGAGGTCAAAAGGGTCCAAAATTAAACTTTGTTTGATTTCATCAAAAATTGAATTCTTGGGGTTCTTTGATATGCTGAATCTAACCATGTATTTAGATTTTGGATATTGGACCATAATAGGTGAATGTCCAATTTAAAATTTTTAAGTTCTTAGACCACATTCATTCTGTGTCAGAAACCTATGCTGTGTCAAATATTTAATCACAATCCAAATGCAAAGCTGTATCAAGCTTAAATGTTGTGTCCATACTTGCCCCAACTGTTCAGGGTTCGACCTCTGCGGTCGTATCAAGCTGCGCCCTGCGGAGCATTTTATTAAAATTGGAGTTATCTTTCTTTTTCCATGATTATAGTTGAATCAACTACAGTCAATGCTTTATACAATGCAATGTTTAATTTTGACTTCCACTGATAAAACACAGATCAAGTTGAATTTGGGTAGTGTCACTTTAACCATTATTGAGTAATGCCCCTTTATAAATCGAAAGATTGCAAAATTTTCAGTTTCCATTCTGTAACTTAAGTTTGCCCCAACCAAACATTATGAAACCTATACACAATATTCATTACCACAAAACTAAGATCAAGTACAAATTTTTTGTTTCCGTTTTCTAACTTTAGTTTGCCTCAACCAAATGTTATGAAACTTATATACACAATGCTTATTACTACATAATACAGATTAAGTACGAAATTTGGTGTCAACACTTTTACTATTCTTGAGTTACATGTATGTCCCTTTATAAACATAAAAATTGCTGAATTTTTCGTTTCCATTCTCTAACTTTAGTTTGTCTCAACCAAGTGTTATAAAACTTATACACAACCGTTCTAGTGTTATGCGTGTTTACAAATAGAATAAAATGCTCCGCAGGGCGCAGCTTGATACGACCGCAGAGGTCGAACCCTGAACAGTTGGGGCAAGTATGGACACAACATTCAAGCTTGATACAGCTTTGCATTTGGATTGTGATTAAATATTTGACACAGCATAGGTTTCTGACACAGAATGAATGTGGTCTAAGAACTTAAAATTTTTAAATTGGACATTCACCTATTATGGTCCAATATCCAAAATCTAAATACATGGTTAGATTCAGCATATCAAAGAACCCCAAGAATTCAATTTTTGATGAAATCAAACAAAGTTTAATTTTGGACCCTTTTGACCTCAATGTGGACAAAGTTGATAACGGGGCCCAAAAATCAAAAATCTAAAAAAATGGTTAGATTCAGCATATCAAAGAACCCCATATATTCAATTTCTTTTTAAATCAAACAAAGTTTAATTTTGGACCCCGATTTGGACCAACTTGGAAACTGTGCCCATAATCAAAAATCTAAATACATGTTTAGATTCAGCATATCAAAGAACCCCACATATTCAATTTTTGTTAAAATCAAACTCAGTTTAATTTTGGACCCTTTGGGCCTTAATGTAGACCAATTTGAAAACGGAACCAAAAATTAAGAATCTAAATACACGGTTAGATTTGGCATATCAAAGAACCCAAATAATTCAATTTTTGATGAAATCAAACAAAGTTTAATTTTGGACCCTTTGGACCTTAATGTAGACCAATTTGAAAACGGAACCAAAAATTAAGAATCTAAATACACGGTTAGATTCGGCATATCAAAGAACCCAAATAATTCAATTTTTAATGAAATCAAACAAAGTTTAATTTTGGACCCTTTGGACCTCAATGTGGACCAATTTAAAAACGGGGCCCAGAATTCAAAAACTTAATACACGGTATGATTTAGCATATTAAAAAACCCCAAGAATTCAAGAATAAAACCCCATTGAAATTGGTCAAGAAATAAGCAATTTATACGAAGTATCTTCTTTTGCACAATACTGTGCAATTAAATATTTCTTGCTATTGCGCAATACTATACAATTGACAATTTCTTGCTATTGCGCAATATTGTGCTATTGGATATTTCTTGCTATTGCGCAATACTGTGCAATTGAAGATTTCTTGCTATTGCGCAATACTGTGCAATTGAAGATTTCTTGCTATTGTGCAATACTGTGCAATTGAAAATTTCTTGCTATTGCACAATACTTATTATATAATAATTTACACATCCTGTTTGGTGTGTCTCTCCTACCGTATCATTATTATTTGCTTTTAAATATAAATCAGAAATAACCAACTTAAAATGGAAAATTTTAAAAGAAAAAAAAAAGGAAAAAAAAAAAATCCCCCCCCCCCCCCCCAAATTTTTTGAACCCCCTTATGATTCATCACCCCCAAACTTAATCCCAGCCTTCCCTTTGTGGTATGGTACCTTGCAGTACAATTTCAGAGAGATCCATACACTTGAACAAAAGTTATTGTCTGGAAACTAGAAAAATGTGTTTTTTGGCCCCTTTTTGGCCCCAAATTCCTAAACGTTTAGGGCAATTACCCCCAAACTAAAACCCAGCTTTCCATTTGTGATATGGAACCTTGTAGTACAATTTCAGAAAGATCCATACACTTACACACAAGTTATGGTCCTGAAACTAGAAAAATGCTTGTTTTTAGCCCCTTTTTTGGCCCCTAATTCCTAAAATTTTGAGGCAATTACCCCCAAAATCAATCCCAGCATTCCTTTTGTGATATGGAACCTTGTGTAACAATGTCAGAGAGATCCATACACTAACACACAAGTTATGTCTGGAAGTTACAAAAATGCTTATTTTTGGCCCCTTTTTGGCCCCTAATTCCTTTACTGTTGGTACCATAACCCCCAAAATCAATCCCAACCTTCCTTTTGTGGTATTGAACCTTGTGGTAAAATTTCATAGAGATCCATTCACTTAAACTAAAGTTAGAGTGCGAAAACCAATGTGTCTTCGGACGACGCCAGACGACGACGCCAACGTCATACCAATATACGACCACAAAAATTTTTTTGCGGTCGTATAAAAATTGCTGAATTTTTAGTTTCTGTTCTCTACTTAAGTTAGCCTTAACCAAATGTTATGAGACTTACACACAGTGCTTATTACCACAAAACTCAGATCAAGTTCAAATTTGGGTAGCGTCACTTTTTTCTTCAGTTATGTCCCTTTATAACTATATGATATACAAGCGGGGGCATCATCTGTGTCCACATGTGGACACTATCCACATTTATTTTATACAAGGGATAACAATAATTCAAACTGAATTTTTGTGCTATCTGAACTTTCAATATGAGATTTTAAAGATCATTGACACAAAGTATGCTTGTAACTAAAATCCGCTGTACAACTAATTTTGTGTGCTGTCAGAAAATTGGATCCAAATCAAAATTTGATCATGGATGAATGATAATAAAAATGAAAATTGGCATGCATTATGTTGACACTAAAGGGGTCTGTCATCTTGAGATTGCTCACAGTATGATATTTTATTAACTTCATTGTGGAAGACCTCACAGACGGCAGAAGCTGATGTGTGTGAGAAACATAAATTGGAGCTTTTTATACGACCGCAAAAAAATTTTTGGGATCGTGTAATGGTATGATGTCGTCGTCGTCTGCGTCATCGTCCGAAGACCCATTGGTTTCCGGACAATATCTTTAGTTTAAGTGAATGGATCTCTATGAAATTTTTTAAGAAGGTTCAATACCACAAAAGGAAGGTTGAGATTGATTTTGGGGATGATGGTCCCAACCATTTAGGAATTAGGGGCCCAAAAGGGGCCAAAAACAAGCATTTTTCTAGTTTCAGTATATTAACTTGTGGATAAGTATTTTGATTGCTCTGAAATTGTACCACAATGTTTAATACCACAAGTAAAAGGTTAGGATTCATTTAAGGGGTTATGGGGCCAACAGTTTAGGAATTAAGGGCCAAAAAGGGACCAAAAACAACAATTTTTATACGCCCGTTTACGGGATGTATTATGGTATACTGTTGACCGTCTGTCCGTCCGTCCGTCTGTCGTCAACATGTCAGACATTAATTCAAAAACGCTTTAACCAATATGCAAGAAACTTTGGTGAATTGTTTATATCTATTGACGTGAGCTCCCTTTCGTTTTTTTTAAATTTCGGATTTACCGTTTCCGAGTTTTGGGGTTTTATTCATTAAAAAAGGGGGGATTTTCCAGTTTTCAGACAATAACTCAAAAACAATTTCACCAATTTGCATGAAACTTTTGTGAATTGTTTATATCTATTGACGTGAGCTCCCTTTTGTGTTTTTCTAAATTTCGGATTTACCGTTTCCAATTTATGGGGTTTTATTTATTACAAAAAGGAGGATTTTCCAGTTTTCAGACAATAACTCAAAAACACTTTCAGCATTTTTTATGAAACGTTAGTAATTTGTTTATATCTATTTTTGTAAACTCCCTTTTGATTTTTATAAATTTTCGAATTTAGGTTTCTGAGTTATAAGATTTTATTTGTTTATAGTCTGACAACAGATTTACTAAGCATTGTGCAACAGCACAGTGTATTGCACAACAGCAAGAAATCTTTAATTGAATATAAATTCAATTCATATAACCAATTTCAAGTTCTTTGACAACATTTATTCAGAAACCTATAATATGTCAAATATTTAATTACAATCCAAATTCAGACCTGTATCAAGCTTGAATATTGTGTCCATTTTTGCCCCAACTGTTCAGGGTTGGACCTCTGCGGGCGTATCCAGCTGCGCTCAGCGAAGCAGTTTATTACATTTTGAACTTCTTCTAGAGAACCACTGAATGGAATGAAACCAAACATGGCATGAATGTTCCTTATGAGGTGCTGACCAAGTGTTGCTACTTTGTAGCGGATCCATCATCCAAGATGGCCGCCAGCGAGGGACTTAGTTTAACATAGGACCCTATGGGAAATACATACAAATGTCTTCTTTTAGAGAACCACTGAATGGAATGAAACCAAACATGGCATGAATGTTCCTTATGAGGTGCTGACCAAGTGTTGTTACTTTGAAGCTGGTCCATTATCCAAGATGGCCGCCAGCGGGGGACTTAGTTTAACATAGGACCCTATGGGAAATACATACAAATGTCTTCTTTTAGAGAACCACTGAATGGAATGAAACCAAACATGGTATGAATGTTCCTTATGAGGTGCTGACCGAGTGTTGTTACTTTGAAGCCAATCCATAATCCAAGCTGGCCGCCAGCGGGGGACTTAGTTTAACATGGGACCCTATGGGAAATACATACAAATGTCTTGTTTTAGAGAACCACTGAATGGAATGAAACCAAACATGGCATGAATGTTCCTTATGAGGTGCTGACCGAGTGTTGTTACTTTGAAGCCAATCCATAATCCAAGATGGCCGCCAGCGGGGGACTTAGTTTAACATAGGACCCTATGGGAAATACATACAAATGTCTTCTTTTAGAGAACCACTGAATGGAATGAAACTAAACATGGCATGAATGTTCCTTATGAGGTGCTGACCGAGTGTTGTTACTTTGAAGCTGATCCATAATCCAAGATGGCCGCCAGCAGGGGACTTAGTTTAACATAGGACCCTAATGGAAATAAATACAAATGTCTTCTTTTAGAGAACCTTTGAATGGAATGAAACCAAACATGACATGAATGTTCCTTATGAGGTGCTGACCAAGTGTTGTTACTTTGAAGCTGATCCATCATCCAAGATGGCCGCCAGCGGGGGAATTAGTTTAACATAGGACCCTATGGGAAATAAATACAAATGTCTTTTTTAAAAGAACCACTGAATGCAATGAAACCAAACATGGCATGAATGTTCCTTATGAGGTGCTGACCAAGTGTTGTTACTATGAAGCCGATACACAATCTAAGATGGCCGCCATTGGAGGACTTAGTTTAACATAGGACCCTATGAGAAATACATACAAATGTTTTCTTTTAGAGAACCATTGAATGGAATGAAACTAAACCTGGCATGCATGTTCCTTTTGAGGTGCTGACCAAGTGTTGTTACTTTGAAGCTGATCCTTCATCCACGATGGCCGCCAGATGGGGACAATGTTTAACAAAGGACCCTATGGACAATACATGCAAATGTCTTCTTTTAGAGAACCACATACTGAATGGATTGAAATCAAACATGGCATGAATGTTCCTTATGAGGTGCTGACTAAGTTTTGTTACTTTGAAGCTGATCCTTCATCCATGATGGCCGCCAATGGGGGGACTTTCTTTAACATAAGACCCTAAGGGAAATACATACAAATGCTTCTTCTAGAGGTGCACTGAATGGAATGAAACCAAAACATGGCATAAAGGTTTCTTATGAGGTGCTGATGAAGTGTTGCTACTTTTTTGCTGATTTACTGTTCAAGATGGCCACCAGGATTTTTTATTAAATTACAGGACCAATATTAAACCAAATTTGGCCTCACTCATTATAAGGGTATCTGTTATGATTTTAATCTATTTTTACATGATTTCCAAAACCAAAGTAGAATCAGGTGAGCGACACAGGCTCTTGAGAGCCTCTAGTTTGTTGTTTTGTAGATTTTTGTGAAAAGAACCACTGATCAGAAGAAAATGCATAGGCGGATCCAGGGGGGCCCTGAGGGGCCCGGGCCCCCCTTTCATGGGAAAAATTTGGTTGATTACATAGGGAATCACTGAAGCGTGACTGGAGGGGGCCCCCCTTACAAAAAGTTCTGGATCCGCCACTGAAATGTATCAGTTTTTTTTATTAAATCGGTAATTGGAAAATGGGCTATTCAGACCCTAAAACTTCCTCCTGACTCATGACTCATCAGAAAAACTTATATTGACCCAGCATCATGAATCTTCACAATTACAATGAACTTTGATAGTGTAAAAAAGATAACAATATCATTATATGTATTTTATTTTTAGAATGAAATTGATGAAAATGTAAAGATATTATTGGATCTGAAAGTGCAATACAAGTCAGCTACAGGCAAAGACTTAAAACCAACCCCAACCACTGTGACCCAAACTGCAGAGAAAATGCCAGCAACTACTAAAGATGCTTCAGAGCTCAAGACCCAGATAGATGCACAGGGTGAGAAAGTTCGCAAGTTGAAGTCATCTGGAGCATCAAAGGTGAATTATATTGTATTTCTATGACCTACTCTTGTTTAAGCATTAACTCTCTTTAAATCGATCAAGGTAAATACTAAGAACTTTATTGCTTTCTGAAAAGGAGAAGGTCAGAGAAGCTGCATTCTTTTGAATGCCACTAACATTGTGCTAATTAGGTAAGCAGCAAGGCCATAGGGTATTATTCTTTTTATATTTATACATATTTTTTGCACCTGTTTGTAGATGGCTGTTCAGGACAACCTTTCAATCCCTAATTGATAAGTTGTTGTTTGTTTGTAGGAAGAAGTAGAAAAAGAAGTGCAGACATTGTTAAGTCTAAAGACAAAGTATAAAGAACAGACAGGAGAAGATCTGGCTGGAGGTGGTGGAAGGAAAGACAAAAAGGATAAGAAGGATAAGAAACCTAACAAAGAAAACAAACAGGAAACTAAAAAACCAGTACAAGATGACAGTCAAAAAGACCACAAGAAAATAACAAGGTATTATTATTATTATTTGATGTGATGCCATGTATTTCAATATTTTTACCTGCGTCGCAAAAGGGTGAAGCAGGTCTAGTAACCACTCAACTCCAGCTGTCAGAAAGAAACCTTTCGTCAAGGTTTTCTTGGCTTTTATGAAAAGAAATGATTTAATATTGAGTTGTTGCAATGAAGGCAATTTTAAATCTACTGTGTAGCCACTTCCTGTTTATGGATAGTTTGAAATTTTACAACGCTCATTGTACAAGGAAAATTTTCATCAAACTTTTCTTTCTTGGCTCCTATTGAAGTGAATGATTTTAATATTTGGTCTTGGAGTCATCAGTTATGCTCTGATACACACATTAACTCAATCAATTGCATACAGCAACACAGGTCAGGTTTTGGTCATGTTGTATGTGTATTTTATATGAATCCACCATTTGAAATATATATCCTGTGGTCCTTTATTCTCTATGTAATTTCAATATTACTGAAACTGTCAATTGACCTCTTTAAGGAGTTATTGCCCTTCATTGACAATTTCTTTTTATCACTTTTTTGCAATTTATCTTGGAAAGTATAAAAGATATACAGAAACAGTAAACAGCAAAACTGATCTTCAAAATGCTTCATCATTGAAACCATCAAATAACTCCTTATAGTATTTATATTCTAAAATGAGTTTTTGTCTCACCTCTACAAAGTATTTGAGATAAGACTTTAATAATGTTTCCAGCGGTGGTGGCATCAACAATTTGTAAAAGTTTGCAATTAGTTCAGTTTAAGAGAATCACTAATGGTATTAAAGTCAATTTTATTTGGTATGCAGTTGTATCAGTTTTAGCACATCTGATACACATGGAAATTGTTTGACTCTGCCTCCTAACTCATGGTCTATTGACTTTGTAACTTTTGCATAGTTTTATACATGATAAAGTTTGTGATTAGGACATTTTAAGGGAACCACTTGTGATATTAAAGTATTGTCATTTTAATTTCAACATTAGCACTTTAATATCAAAATTACATGACATATGAAGTAATTAAACAAGACAAAATATGTACTGTGTATAAAAATATTATCTCAGTAGTAATTATTTTATTTTTACAGGTTAGGTTTAGAAGCCAGAAAAGAAGAGAATTTATCTGATTGGTATTCACAGGTAAGTTGTAAATATTCTTATTAGTCCCCTACCGACGAAGTCGAAGGGGACTTTAGGTTTGCACTCTGTCCGTCTGTCCGTATGTCCATCCGTCAGTCCGGCAACTCAGCTTTCCACACTTTTTTCTTCGTTCTTGAAGATATTGATTTGATATTTAGTATATAGTTTTATCATGACAAGTTAAAGATCAAGTTCGAATTTGTTCCGGTCTGATGATTTAGTCCAGAGTTATGGTCCATAAAAAAACTCCATAACTAATGTTAGAGTACTATGTTAAACCATATAAACTGTACAAAGGGAGATAACTCATTTTTTAAAAGACATTCTTTGGTAAATTGTTTGAGGAATTTTGTGGCAGGTTTATATGTTATTTTGTATAAACTAATTTTTTGAATGTTACATGTATATATCTATATATATATATATTTTATTAAGTGAAATCCTTTGATTAGATAATAATTTATTTTTATTAAGGTATATATTTCATTACATTACATTGTGTAGATAAAAGTTGTTGACATTTTATAGATAAGTTACAAATCTATATTAGTTTGTGACAAATGAAAGAAAAAATATTTGGAACTATTAATTATATTTGATTGTAATTTGAAAATAGATATACATTGTATTACATCATATCTAATTTTAGAGTACTATTAATCATATCTAATGTTTGAGTGTTATAGGTTTTCCACACTTTTTTTCATCATGCTTGAAGATATTGATTGACAATTGGTATATAGTTTTATCATGACAAGTTACAGATCAAGTTCAAATTTTTGTTTCGGTCTGATAATTTTGTGCAGAGTTATGGTCCTTGGACATGAAAAAATTCACTCATATATTCAGTTTTCCACACTGTTTTTAGTCATGCTTGAAGATATTGACTTGATATTTTCTTTTTGTTTACACCATGACAAGTTATAGAACAAGTTAGCATTTTGTTCCAGTATAATGAATTTTTACCCGGTAGGGGACTATGTATTACCATGCAATACTCTCAGAATGCTTGTTTATTTCACCTCTTAATTTCTTCTGTCTGCTCTAAATTTAAACATTAATCTATAAAATGTTAAATGTTCCATACTACCATAAATATACTTTGTATTGTATGAAACTTTTAGTAACAGGTATGATTTCACTATGGCTAATTAGCAATCTTGTTTGTATTTTAATAAGTTGTTTTGTTTGTTTGCTATTTGTTTGCAGGTCATTCAGAAAGCTGAGTTGATAGAATATTATGATGTAAGCGGTTGTTACATTCTCCGTCCATGGTCATATTCTATATGGGAGTGTATTAAGGAATTCTTTGATACAGGGATAAAGAAACTAGGAGTGGAGAACACATATTTCCCTATGTTTGTGTCCCATGCAGCTTTGGAGAGAGAGAAAGCTCATATAGAAGACTTTGCTCCAGAGGTAAGCAAGGACCAGGATGTGTAATAAGAGATTAATTTGGTCTTATTGTTTATGGGGGATTATTTGGTCATACTGAAAAGATTTGATTGTATTTTTTAGAATTTTAAAAAATTAATGATTGTACATTTAAATGAATTGTATGGTCATTTAAAAGAGTCTCCTACAGTTTATATTTACACCAGTAAGGGGAGATGAATGTTAAAACTTTACCGTGGCCAATTTATAGATACCTTCAAACATTTACTTTGTCTTCTGTCACATGTAACACCTGTTTCATAATAATGTTTACACTATAGCAGCATATATATGTTTTTTTTACAAAAAAAGCATATTTGGCTTCGATATACCTTTTAAACATTAATACTGTTTAATTTTAGGTTGCCTGGGTAACAAGGTCTGGAAAATCTGAATTAGCGGAACCAATAGCTATTAGACCAACAAGTGAAACTGTGATGTACCCATCGTATGCCAAATGGATAAAATCTCACAGAGATCTCCCATTGAAGCTGAATCAGTGGTGTAATGTTGTGGTAAGAACATGTTTTAGTGAATAATTTATTTTATTACAAAATTGAATAATTGGTTAAAGAAAAAAAATACTGTGGTAGAATTTTGTATAATATTTTGGTAACAGTAACCCAGAATTATTGTTGTATGTTGTTCCATTATATCACAAAATCTGTTTTTAATAGACATAATGGCAATCAAATTATAATTTGCAAAACAGTAGTTATTTATTTGGCTTATGTAAAAAGTTTTACATGAGTATATGAGTGTATGATCAGCAGTGCTGTTCAAGCCTATTATTTTATAAAATCCTTTAGGGCTATTCCATTAAAAAGAATGTACCAGGGTCGGACGGCAATTATAAAAAATCCCGTTGGTTGTTGATGTGTTGAAGCGTGTATGGCCAGTGGCCCTTGGTGTTTAGAGAAACTAAGTATTGTTGGTTGTTGGTCTTCTTTGACAGTCATTTTTCGTGACTGTCGGTTTCAATGTGTTATTTTCCGTTTTTTATTATTATTTGTTTTTGCAAGGACTTATATAACCGATTGTTTTTGTCTCCTGCTCTTATCGTGATATTTTGGAAAACATAACTGTTCCCGCGACTTACGCAGCGGCAGGCGCAACGTTGAATTCTACCTATGGTACCAGTTCCGGAAGTGCAAGAGTTACTTCCCTTTAATGACAAACACATGGCGAACGATGTCAAATTCTATTGAAAATAATAGTCGGAGGTTCAAATTAGCGGTGGTCCGAGGTCAGCAACCTTCCACTTTTGCAATCGGACTTTCGTTTGGTTACTAGCTAGGCCCAACGGACCTTCGATTTGAAATAAAATAAAAATTAACTTTGACGACCTTTTTAACCATCAGTATGGTCATTTTAAAGCCATATTACTATTGAGATCGTACACCCCTCCAGGGATTTTTCTAGCATTCCACAGGGTCCAAATACCGGACCCATTCCTATTGGCAATGGCAAATACCCTACGTTTTTCCCAATTTTCAATTTGGGACCAAAACTTCCAAACGATCTCAAAATTTATTTTTATCTTTATTATTCATGACAGCGATGCTCAGTTTGTTCAACCGCTAGCTTTATACTGAAAATTGCTAACAAGTAATGTGTAAATACGAGTAAAATCATATCTGACTGACAAAAACAACCATTGAAAAGCAATGGATGCCATAAACCGGAAATGAAGACGATTACAATACCGATCAAATTCCGGGGTCGGATAAGGGTAATTCCGGGTTTGCCGATCAAATACAATAAAAAAAATAATAATTCCAGGCAGGTGACAAAATACATCTATGATGATGAAATATAAACACTAGAATTGAAAACCAAAAGGTCATTAAAGATTGCATATTTTGGCGTTAATATTGATTCACTTATAGGGTCTTTGCATCGGCACTAAACACATTTATTTAAAAACCAGTTGTTGGCATGACACGGGTTATGTTCTTCTCATATATGTTATGATGGTATGATACTAAACCCCTAACGGGAAGGATTGTGCCTGATATTCATATGATGAAGACATAATCTTTCAATCAGTTTAATTGAAGTCTGGAGCTGGCATATCAGTTAACTGCTAGTAGTCTGTTGTTATTTATGTATTATTGTCATTTTGTTTATTTTCTTTGGTTACATCTTCTGACATCAGACTCGGACTTCTCTTGAACTGAATTTTAATGTGCGTATTGTTATGCGTGTACTTTTCATCATTGGCTGGAGGTATAGGGGGAGGGTTGAGATCTCATAAACATGTTTAACCCCGCCGCATTTTTACGCCTGTCCCAAGTCAGGAGCCTCTAGCCTTTGTCAGTCTTGTATTATTTTTATACGACCGCAAAAAATTTTTGCGGTCGTATATTGGTATGACGTTGGCGTCATCGTCTGGCGTCGTCCGAAGACACATTGGTTTTCGCATTCTAACTTTAGTTTAAATGAATGGATCTCTATGAAATTTTACCATAAGGTTCAATACCACAAAAGGAAGGTTGGGATTGATTTTGGGGGTTATGGTACCAACAGTTAAGGAATTAGGGGCCAAAAAGGGGCCAAAAATAAGCATTTTTGTAACTTCCAGACATAACTTGTGTGTTAGTGTATGGATCTCTTTGACATTGTTCCACAAGGTTCCATATCACACAGGGAATGCTGGGATTGATTTTGGGGGTAATTGCCTCAAAATATTAGGAATTAGGGGCAAAAAAGGGGCAAAAAACAAGCATTTTTCTAGTTTCATGACAATAACTTGTGTGTAAGTGTATGGATCTTTCTGAAATTGTACTACAAGGCTCCATATCACAAAGGGAAAGCTGGAATTGAGTTTGGGGGTAATTGCCCAAAACGTTTAGGAATAAGGGGCCAAAAAGGGGCCAAAAATAAGCATTTTTGTAGTTTCCAGACAATAACTTGTGTTCAAGTGTATGGATCTCTCTGAAATTGTACTGCAAGGTACCATACCACAAAGGGAAGGCTGGGATTGAGTTTGGGGGTGATGAATCATAAGGGGGTTCAAAAAATTTGGGGGGGGGATTTTTTTTTTTTTTTCCTTTTTTTTTTTCTTTTAAAATTTTCCATTTTAAGTTGGTTATTTCTCTGTTTTATATTTAAAAGCAAATAATAATGATATGGTAGGAGATACACATCAAACAGGATGTGTAAATTATTATATAATAAGTATTGTGCAATAGCAAGAAATTTTCAATTGCACAGTATTGCACAATAGCAAGAAATCTTCAATTGCACAGTATTGCGCAATAGCAAGAAATCTTCAATTGCGCAGTATTGTGCAATAGCAAGAAATATCCAATAGCACAATATTGCGCAATAGCAAGAAATTGTCAATTGTACAGTATTGCGCAATTGCAAGAAATATTCAATTGCACAGTATTGTGCAAAAGAAGATACTTCGTATAAGTTGCTTATTTCTTGACCAATTTCAATGGGGTTTTATTCTTGAATTCTTGGGGTTCTTAAATATGCTGATTCTAAGCGTGTATTAAGTTTTTGGATTTTGGGCCCCGTTTTTAAATTGGTCCACATTGAGGTCCAAAGGGTCCAAAATTAAACTGTTTGATTTCATCAAAAATTGAATTATCGGGGTTCTTTGATATGCCGAATCTAACTGTGTATTTAGATTCTTAATTTTTGGTTCCGTTTTCAAATTGGTCTACATTAAGGTCCAAAGGGTCCAAAATTAAACTTAGTTTGATTTTAACAAAAATTGAATTCTTGGGGTTCTTTGATATGCTGAATCTAAACATGTATTTAGATTTTTGATTATGGGCCCAGTTTTCAAGTTGGTCCAAATCGGGGTCCAAAATTAAACTTTGTTTGATTTCAACAAAAATTGAATATATGGGGTTCTTTGATATGCTGAATCTAACCATGTATTTAGATTTTTGATTTTTGGGCCCCATTATCAACTTTGTCCACATTGAGGTCAAAAGGGTCCAAAATTATACTTTGTTTGATTTCATCAAAAATTGAATTCTTGGGGTTCTTTGATATGCTGAATCTAACCATGTATTTAGATTTTGGATATTGGACCATAATAGGTGAATGTCCAATTTAAAATTTTTAAGTTCTTAGACCACATTCATTCTGTCAGAAACCTATGCTGTGTCAAATATTTAATCACAATCCAAATTCAGAGCTGTATCAAGCTTGAATGTTGTGTCCATACTTGCCCCAACTGTTCAGGGTTCGACCTCTGCGGTCGTATCAAGCTGCGCCCTGCGGAGCATTTTATTAATTTTAGTTTCTTGTGTACAATTTGGAGTTTAGTATGGCGTTCATTATCACTGAACTAGTATATATATTTGTTTAGGGGCCAGCTGAAGGACGCCTCCGGGTGCGGGAATTTCTCGCTGCATTGAAGACCTGTTGGTGACCATCTGCTGTTGTCTGTTCTATGGTTGGGTTGTTGTCTCTTTGACACATTCCCCATTTCCATTCTCAATTTTATTTTTTACAGAGTTTGTCTTTAGTGCCGTGTGGAGACAGTAGAGTGCCTCCCCGTGCTTCAGGTTTATGCTCTTATAATATACTAGATTATGGAGTGTGTGTCTGAGCGAGAATTTCTCTAGTTCATTACTTTAGGAATATTTATCAAAAAGTAGTATTTCAATATTCAGCCCCATTCTACTATTTAGTCAGACGTCAGTCGCTACCCTGATATACCCTTTCTTTTTCGGGTAATTAATACGGATAGCATTTGACATCTTTAGCCGAACAGATTTATCATTTTTACATAATTTAATTCATTGTATGCTGGTTCATATTCTGGACGCCAGTCTTTGCTCCTTTCTAATATAATTCACAAACAAAAAACAAATATGAAGCTTAGAAATGGAAAAATATTAAATACTAAACTCCTTCAAAGGGTATCTACACGTCTCAATCATCAAAATCGCTTATCTAAAAATACTACCATCGCTAACATTTTTAACAATAAAAATCGTGGTTACCCTTCTATCGATAAGTGTCATGCCAAAAAATGACTTACATGTCCCCGTCTTTCCACCAACAATACGGTAAGGTCCACGTTTAATGGTCACACATTTTCTTTAAATTTTGAAACTGATATAACTTGAAAAACAAACAGTATAATTTATTTACTCACATGAAACAAACCGGGATGCGGTATTCAGTACGTAGGTGAAACTGGACGATATTTATCTAAACGCACTCAAGAACATCTGTATCGTTTTAAAAGACCCAATAAATTCAAAAGTATCATTTATCAACACCTTAAGAAGCACAATCATCCTATTAAATATTTAGCAGTTCAACCTTTAGAAGTAGTAAATAAGCAGCCTGGTGAATCTCATTCAAAGTTTGTACGATCGCGGAAAATAATTGAATTAAATTGGATTAAAAAATTACAGACAGTCTACCCTCTCGGTCTTAATGATAATATCATGGGAATTGGTAATATATCAAGAACCGATTCTGTTAAAATTTTGGATATAGTTTCTAAAACTGTTCGTAAAAACCGTTCTCATGGTCG